AGGCCTCTTACTCAAAGATTTGAAATAACGTCTCACACAGAGTGTAGAAGTAGTAAGGTGACTTTATTCTAAGCAAACACCATAGTACCATTTTGTTACATTGTCTAGAGGGACAGACAGCAGGCCACCTGAATGAAAACGTAATTAGAAGTTTAGGGCTTCCTTTTATATGGTTTAAGAGAAGGAGGAGTTTGGTTGTGAATGGGTGTAGTGAGGATAGATCCCTGCTTTGGTTGACAGGCTTAGATGAGGTGGATCTTTGCCCACTGTGCTTGTCTCTTTTCACGGTGCGTCTCACTTTAATAATGTACATACCCAATTATGCATACGTGGAAGATGGGAAGTAGAAGATTCTCCCTAAAAGTTCACTTAGAAGACACAGTTTGCCTTACTGCACATGTACCAAAAATCAGTTTAGGCCAGACTGGACCCATGTTCTTGGATGTATTCGAGAGTGTTTGAATAGAAATGGCTCTTGAGGATTGCTGATGGTAACTTGTTGCCATCATTTAAAGCAGATATATCTATGTATCTCAATGTAGATAGAGGCCTCAGGCTAACAGGCTGTTCTGTACATTGTTTGATGAGCTGTTAGAGTATGTACAGGTAATGAGTTCAGCTTGTCATGTTCATCATTAGAAGAAGTGTATGTACATGGCCCCAACGGAATAGAGTCCCAGGTTGCTAAACTACCCTATGCTTGCCTGCCTCAGGATGACCGCAAACTTGTGATCTTTCTTGTCTTTGCCTCCAGAATATTAGTAGAACAAGTACACACAACCATGAGAAGTTTTTAAAAGGACTGACATCTTTATTGTCTAGAAGAAATAGGTATTTGTGCTTTACTTTTATATTTTCTGTGTAGCCAAGGCTCATTTGGAATTTGGTTTGTGGACCAACTTGCTCTCAGTCTTGTGGCAGTCTTCCCGTTTCTGCATCCTGAGTGCTAGTGTTAAAGGAGTTTGCTACCGTGGCTGGTGTACTTGTTTCTGTTTGTCTTACAATTTCCCCTACGTGTGTGTGTGTGTGTGTGTGTGTGTGTGTGTGTGTGTGTATACATATATATGTGTATGTATGTATGTATGTATGTATGTATATGTATATAAACACTGAATCTGAGATTCAATTTTACTGAAATCTTCAAATCCTAGATATTTTCTCTTTACATAACTGCCTAGGGCTGAGGAGATGGCTCCGTGAATAAATCACTTGCCATGCAAGTGTTAGGACCTAAGTTTGAATCCTCAGAACTTATTTAAATTCCAGATGTGGTAGTGCACACCTGTACTCCCAGTGTTCCTGTGATGAGATGAGAGGTGGAGACAGGAAAATCCTCTGAAGCTGTTGGGCCAGCTGACCTGGGCATGCACAACAGTGACCAATAGAGATCTGACCTCAAACAAAGTGGGAGGTGAACATCTGAGGTCCTTCTCTGACACACACAGAAAACGTGGGCCAGTGAGATGGCTAAGTGGGTAAAGGTGCTTGTAGACAAGCTTGATGACTCAATGCTTTCATCCCTGGAATCCACATGATGGAGAGAATTGACTTCTCACAGGAAGAGGATCCCTTGGTAATGAGGCACTGGAGAACTAGGATTCATATACATGTGCCCGTAGGTTGGAATTCAAGGGAGAAGTATCTATTTTTCTGAGGTTGTACTGGTTATTCCAAGAGCTGTATCTACACATTGTCTTCCCCTCTCTCCTCTTTTTCCTCCTCTTCATTTTCTGTAAAAGATTTGCTTTTATTCATGTGTGCATATGTGTGGGTATGTGCTCAAGAATGCAGGTGCTGAGAACTGAACTTTGGTTCTCTAGAAGAGGAGAAAGTTCTTAATCAATGGAGTTATCTCTCCAGCCCATACGCATTGGTTTTGTTTTGTTTTTAAATGTTGACCAGGGTAGGGCCTAACTTTATCTGAATGCATGGAAATAGCAGTCTGCAGGGTCTTTAGGTCTGGTATATCATGGGTTAGGCAGTTAAAGCCTTTACTGTCTAGGAAAAACAAGAAAAGGAGGCAAAGTCAGACCTTAGACTAGAGAATATTATCCCTTGAGATCAGCCCATTCTCGGGCTGTCAATAAAGAAGGGCTGTGTGCTGGCTCAGGCAGAGGGTGGATCTAAATCCCAGCTTCTGAAGGAGAGCTTTAAGGAAAGTCTCCTTAATGAGTTTCCCAAGCCTGGTGTGTTGGAACCGCTTGTAATCTGAGGCAGGAGCATTGTCATGGGGTCATCCTGGATTAGACTGTTCTCTAGGCTAGTCTTTACCTGATTTATGCCCTGACTCCCTTCAAAAAAGTGTGATCTGCTACTAATCAGTTAAACTTTTCATATTTTTTTTAGGCAAAAATTGGTATTCTGGAAAGTGTGTGTCTGTCCCTGGCCCAGTCTTAGGTTTGAAAAAGAGACATCATCTAAAAAACATGGTATTTGGTTGTACTAGGTTCTTTCTTGGGAATAGAAATAGATTGGCTGGCTAAGAGTTTATAAGAATTGTAAGACTTAAGTAATATTTAGCATCTCCAACTGTTTATTCTCAAATATAGTGAGGTGCCAGTTAGAATATAATTTGTGGGAATTGGGAGTCGTTAAGGTAGACTGTGAGGATATAACTCAGTTGGCAGAATACTTGTCTAGTATGCATGAAGCCCTGGATTGAATGAAGCGCTGAGTGTGGTGCTGCAGGCCTGTCATCCCAGTACTCTGGGGGTGGAGTGCAGGAGGATCAGAAGTTCAAGAACTACCTAGCAAGTTTGAGGCTGTGGTGGTGAACACCATGCTGCCAAGCCTGATGACCTGAGTTCAATCCCAGGTACCCAAATGGTGGAAGGCAAGAACCAACTCCTAGTTGTACTTTGACCTCCACACATGCTTGTGCCACATGCTCCCCCTCTGTGCAAATAAACAAATAAATAAATGTTCCTCCCTCCACTACAATTAGAAAGTCTATGGAGGATAGTCTGGGAGACACTTTGAGAACCTATTGCAGGTAAGAGTTTTAGAGTTTGATGTTTTTTGAAGTATTTAATAAAATTTAAAAATTAGTTGCCTTTGTCCTTGATTCAACTACAGAGAACTCAAAACCGTTAGAATTTCTGGAATGGTAGGAGTATCTGAATGTTTACCATAAGCTCCTTTCATATACTCTCTGAATTCATGCTAATGAGGTTATTCACTGCCATCTGTTTATAATGTCTGGAAAAATAGATGGGGCATAGACGAACAAATGGATGCTTTGGCTTGGCATCTGTGGTAGAGATGTGTGTTGGCACTGAGCCCTCAGTCCTTCAGGACTTGGCTAACACTGGGTATAGTCAGAATTGAATTGTAGTACACCTAGTATTTGAATGTTGATTGGTGTTTAGCAGAAACCAGACATTTTGTTCACAAGTGATGCTAGCAAAAGACCCAGTAAGTTAGGACTTTCAACTGACTCTGAGACTATCCCAATTTCCTTTCTGGTTGCTGTGATAAAAAGACCCTGAAAAATGCAACTTAAAAGGGAAAGGTTTTTTGTTTGTTTTTAAGGACGTCATCATAAAAGTAGAGCAGAAGTCTACTCTAACACATGCATATGGAAAGACATGTACTAGAGTTCATATACTGCACTTCCCTTATTGTGTTATTTCCTTTGTATTGAGGTTTAAACCCATAGCCCCACACATAATGTCAGTGCTTCACTGAGATGCATCCCCAGCCTCAAAGGGTTTCTTTTGTTTGACTAGATAAAGGTTTTGTTTTGATGTACTAAAGGTCTGCTTTGGGAAACAACTTTATAAATATATGTAAGAGATGATTTTTTGGGGGAGAACAATGAGCTCTTGCTAACAATATTCTGATTATTTCTTGAGTCCTTTGACATTTTCTAGGAAGAGCTGGTATGTTTTCCTATTTGCATAGAGAATTCATAAGTTTTGTTTTGTTTTGTTTTTAGTATTTAATACAGGGTTGACAGTTGAGATATTAGATACAGACTTACTAAAGTTATTAACCTGTGAATTCACAGAACATGTCCTTGTTTTCCTTCATACAAAGTTGCCTCAAGAAGGGTTAAGCATTCATAATCTGGAGATTATTTTGTCATTAGATAGGCTCCTTCTGATAGGTATGTCAAAAACTTGCAAATATCTAGAGAAAACACCAATTAAAATATATTTTTAGCCTGAGCTGGAGTAGCAGGCTGAATTTCCCGGGCTCATTCAGTCCGTTCCAGTATCAGGCACCAGGTCTTGCAAAAGGTTTGAATTGGTGCTCAAGAATTTCTAAGAAGGCTGGCAAGATGGCTCTGTGGGTGAAGATACCAGCCTCCAAGTAGGCTGACTCACATTGTGGAAAGATAACCAGCTTTCAGACCTTTATATAAACACCTTAGCATATAAGCCAGAATAAACCAATAGATAATAGGTTTTTTTTTTTGTCATTGTTTGTTTTTGTTTTTGAGACAAGGTTCCTCTGTATAGCACTGGCTGTCCTGGAACTCACTCTGTAGACCAGGCTGGCCCAGAATTTCGAGATCCATCTGCCTCTGTCTTCTGAGTGCTGGATTAAAGGCATACATCACTACCACCCAGCCACCCAGCACAAATAAATATTGAAAAAAAGAACAATGCAGCAGGCTCAGTTTATAGTTACTAGGGTTATCTAATAATACAGTGGGTGCACACCCATATGTTGTAGAATATACAAAAAGAAATTTTGGCCAATATACCATATTCTCTGTTATATCATGAAATGATCTAGAGTTTCATATTTTAGTATAATGCTGTAGTAAGTCAGTTATTTTCCTGGGCCTGCATTCAGGAATGGAACAAGAAGACCAGAGCGTTGAAATTGACTGCAGAAGTTCCCAGTGTTTGGCTGTTGCTGTCACCTTATGGTTCCAATCTAATGTGAGAATTTCTGTGTGGAGGTTGCCAGCATCATGTGACTTAGGATCTGATTTTAGATCACCAATGTTGTTACTTATACCCTTCTCTTGGAAATATGTGGCATATTAGGAGTCTGTGACCTCTGAGGATGTGGCGGTAAAGTTCAGTATGGAAGAGTGGGCACTGCTGAGTCCTTCTCAAAAGAAGCTCTACAGAGATGTAATGCAGGAAACATTCAGGAACTTGGCTGCCATAGGTAAGAATGAGGTCGCCTTATGTAATCAAGTACATCCTGTTCATCAGTGCACATTCATACGTTGTGGAATATACAAAGGGAAAGTTTGGCCAATATACCAGATTATATCATCTATATCTAGAGTTTCGTACTTTTGTATAATGCTATAGTAAGTCAGTTATTTTTCTGGGCCTGCATTTAGGAATGGAACAGGAAGACCAGAACTTTGAAAAAGACTACAGATGTTCCCAGAGAAATCCCAAGTAAGTTGCCCTCAAAAAATGAAGCAATATTCATCTTTAAATGAGAAGAAATTTTAAAGACAAACCAAATGATATAGATGGTTCAAACCCCAATTAATGGACCTTCAGAAAACTGTTTCTAAAATTGCACATAGGTTGACTACCTATATTTAGAAAATCCCTGAACTGAACATATTTTTATATTTTAGATGTTCATGGCATGAAAATGTTGCTTTAAGGGATACTTATTTGTTACTATTATCTTTTTAAAGACTTATTTTAAGTTACATATATATACATAGGTATGTGCATGTGACTGTAGGTGTCCACAGAAACCTGAATTGTCAGTTCACCCTGAATCTGGAGTTACAGGTGGTTGTGAGCAGTCTGATATGGGTGCTAAGAGCTGAACTCAGGTCCTATGGAGGAGCAGTATATGCTCTCAACTCCTGAGCTCTCCCTCTAGCCTCTTAATTATTGTTTTGGAGATAAGGTCTTATATTGCCTAAGCTAGCCTCAAACTGGTTATGACCCTGAACTTGGTCTTAGCCTTTGATCCTCCAGCCTTCACCTCCCAAGTGTTGGCATCATAGACTTGCCTTACCATTGGGGCACCGTCTGATATTCTGTCTCAAAAGACCTATGCACCTTAAAAAAAAAGACAAAAATCAAAACAATAAAAAAAGTAAAACTTTCTAGGAATACCACTATGATAATAACGACCTCAAGCCAACTGTACAATGTTCATCTGGTTGTGTTTAAAACTTCTTAGTATATAAAATGGTTATTTTATTGGAAAATAATAATAAAACCTTGTTTTTTTCAGAAGTCAAATGGGAAAGAGTCTTTGTGAACATAATGAAGATAATCAATGTGTAGAAAATTTCAGCTGGATTCTAGATCCTACTCTATATAAAGATAATCCTCTTAGATTCAAGCCATGTGAAAGGCATACGTGTAGAAATGTTCTCAATGTTCATTCATCCTTAAATGTGCCTATCACAGTTCAATTTGGACACAAACCATATGAGTATCAGAAATATGCAAAGCAGCTGTATGAATGTAAGGAATGTACAAACAACTCCAGCTTCCCCCAGTGCCTTCTGATGCATACGAGAACTCAAACTGAAGAGAAACTTCATGAAAGTAAACAATGTGGAAAAGCTTTTAGTGATAATCCCTCCCAGATACTTGAAAGAATCCATGCTTCAAAGAAACCAGATGGATGCAAACAGTATAGAAAAGAATTCAGGAACAATGTTACCGAAAGACAAATGGTAACACACAGGGGTGATGGTCCATGTAAGTGTAAGAAATGTACTAAAGATTTTGCCTATTCCACTTCACTTTTTATGCATTCAAGTTCTCATATTGGAGAGAAGGTATATATGCATAAACTGTGTGATAAAGACTTCCCTAATCCTGCTTACCTTGAATGCCATGAAAAGATGCATCATGAAGAAAGACCTTATGTTTGTAAGTACTGTGAGAAAACATTTACTCGTTCTGGTTCCTTGAGATGTCATGAAAGGATTCATACTGGAGAGAAACCATATGCATGTAAGCAATGTGGGAAAGCCTTTACTACACACACTTCTCTCCGATGCCATGAGAAGATTCACACCGGAGAAAAACCTTATGAATGTAAACAATGTGGAAAATCTTTCATGCTCTACAGATATTTGCAAAGACATGAACGAATTCACAGTGGACAGAAACCCTATGAATGTAAGCAATGTGGTAAAGCTTTTTATGTTCACAGTGTTCTTCGATATCATGAAAGGATCCACAGTGGAGAGAAACCTTATGATTGTAAGCATTGTGGGAAAGCATTCACTCATTCCAATTATTTGAGATGCCATGAAAGGATTCACAGTGAAGAAAAGCCCTACATATGTAAACAATGTGGTAAAGCCTTCACTACACACAATTCCCTTCATCACCATGAAAGGACTCACATTGGAGAGAAACCCTATGTATGTAAGCAATGTGGTAAAGCTTTCAGAACACAGAATTCCCTTTATCATCATGAAAGGACCCATACTGGAGAGAAACCCTATGGATGTAAACAATGTGGTAAAGCTTTCACATTGTGCAGGTCCTTACAAAGACATGAACGAATTCATAGTGGGGAGAAATCCTGTGGATGTAAGCACTGTGGGAAACTCTTTTCATGTTTGAGTGAGGTTCAAAGGCATGAACAGACTCACACTGGAATAAAGTCTTATATATGTAAACAATGTGGGAAAGCCTTCTCTAAAAATAGTTACCTTCAGTATCATGAAAAGATTCATAGTGGAGAGAAACCTTGTGTATGTAAGCAGTGTGGAAAAGTGTTCACTTTTTACAGTTCTCTTCAACGCCATGAAAGAACTCACAATGGAGAGAAACCTTATGTATGTAAGCCATGTGGGAAAGCATTTACTTTTTCCAGTTCCCTTCATCGTCATGAAAGGATTCACAGTGGAGAGAAACCCCATATATGTAGGCACTGTGGGAAAGCCTTTCCTTCTTTGAATCAGGTTCAGAGACATGAGCAAACACACAGTACCGTTAAACCCTTTGTATGTAATCAGTGTGGTAAAGCCTTTACTCTACATAGTTCCCTTCGGGACCATGAGAGGGTCCATAGTGGAGAGAAACCATATATATGCAAGCAATGTGGTAAAGCCTTCACTTATCACAGTTCCCTTTGGTACCACGAAAAGATTCATAGTGGAGAGAAACCTTATACATGTAAGCAATGTGGAAAAGCATTCTTGCAGTGCAGTTCCTTGCAAAGACATGAGCGAATTCACTCTGAAGTGAAACCCTGTGCAGAAGAGTGTGATCCTGTTAACTAGAGAAGCCCTAGAACACTAAGAGTTCAGATGGCCATTTTGGTGGGAGTGTGGAAGGTCAAAATGCCAATAGAAATGCAGAAAATAAAGAATGCTCATTAGGTTTCAGAAAAGAATAAGTGCTCTATTGGGAAATGGACTAGAAACTATGCATATTTCATTTTGACAAGTAATCTAGTTTCATTATGCCCGTGTCTAAAGAATTTGAGTAAGGTTTAATTAAAGAACATTTTACTAGATCAAGGCAATTTGAAGACAGTGTAGTATTCAGTGTGTCATGGTTGTTGCTCACCACTCTTTCCTGGGTTTGCAGAGAGATGGAGAGGAAGAGAGAGAGATGTAAAAAATGTCTAGTTTGTTGAGAAAATCATAAGTGAATTTAATGCTGCACAAAAGGAATGCATGGTGGGGGGACTGTGATTGTTAAAAAGATTAGCACAGCTAAGAATAAAGCATGCATTATGCACTGGGACAATGGGAAGGATACACTAGGGCATAGTCCTCCCATTGAAGACTCTGGCTTATAAGTGTATAAAATTGTTTGAAAGGAGAGACTGAAGTGATCTCTTGTTTAAAATAATTGCCTAGGGAAGTATTTTTTTTTTCCTGGATCAACCACTAAGACACATGGGCTATTTCAGTTCCACTCAAAGGGGCCCAGTCTGCATCTCCAGCCAGCATCAGAACTTGACAGCATCCTTCATGCAAAATGCAAGACCAGACCTGAGTTATAGAAGCTTGCTCCAAGCCCACTAAGGCCAGATAATGTGTCACATTTAGATTCCCTGCAAGGAAAGCAATGTGTAGCACTTTCAAATTTTATAAAAGGATGTCCCAAGATGCCGCCATTCATTGTTGTGAAGCTGTGAAAGTGAGCCTTGTGTTACAGCAGAGATTCTAGGAAATGCCAGGACCATGCTTAGTCTGTTAAGCAGGTAGGGAGTAGAACCAGTCTAGTGCAGTGAGTGGGTGCTGCAGGGTACAGGAGTGGGTTTACAGAAGGCTAATGGAGCTCAGATGATATCAACAATAGCTCTAGATGCTGACAAAGATCTTCAGGATTTGGTGATTGTGTTTCTGAGTTTTGGCCTTGCTTTTGGCACAGTCTTTTCTCTGCTATATTCTCAGTTCTCCCTTTTGGAATGGAAATGTTTATTACATAGCATTGTATACATAGCTTTGTAACCTCTCTTGATTTTCTAAGGGCTCACAGTTCCAAGATTGCCTTGAGTCTCAAAAAAAAAAAAGTGTTTGGACTTTGGACCATACAGTGTTTAAAGAACTAAGACTGTGGGGACTTTTGAAGTTAGAATGGATTATTTTTGCTTTATGAGATGGCCACAAACCTTTGAGGGCCAGGGATAGAACAGTATGGTGAAAAAGGATGGTTCTGGGCATCAGTTTTAGAGGTAGACTTGCTGATGGCTAATTTTTTTTTTTTTTTTTTTTTTTGTCAATCTGGCTGGATTTATAATCACCTAAGAAACAAACAAACAAAACAAACACTTATGGCACATCCAGAGAGATGTGACTGATAAGGGAAGACCCACTTTGGGTCTCATCTCATGGCTTGGTGCCCAGACTGAATAAATACTGAGAAAGGAGTAAGCTAACAGAGCACCAGGATTTGTCTTCCAGCTCACCACCATGCCTTCCCTGTTAAAATGAACCATTTTTTAAAGATAAGATAAGCATTTATGTAAGTTGTTTTTGTATGGTATTTTGTCATGGCATCAAGAAGAATAACTTCTACACCCTGTGAATACTATCAATATGGGCATCCTTTATCATGAAATGATTTGTTCATGGTCTAAAGAAACCCCCTTCTATCCTGCAAACTATGCAAGAAAGCCTTCTAGCTTTTGAATTTGTTTGATTAAATTCACACTGGAGAAAACCATATGGGCACAAGCAATGTGGCATATCTGTCTTGCTGTGATTTTTTTTTCAAAGATTTATAAGCAGCTACACTTGAAGGTATCCTTCAGTGTAGAGTGTGGAAAGTTCCCATTATCACAAGTCCATTCTAGCAAACTTGACAGTGGTTAATGAAGAAAATGTGTATTAGTATAACATGTGGAAGGACATCTCAATTCAGAAATTTCAAAAAATGGGTTTGGTGGAATGGGTCAGTGAATAAAGGTCTTTGCTGCCAAGCCCGATGACATAAGTTGATTCCCAGGGCCCATATTCTAGAAGGAGAGAACCAACTCTTCCAAGTTGTCCTCTGACCTCCATACACACAGGGTTGTATGTGCATCCCATCACCTTTCCACATAAAGATAAATATATTGATTAATTCAAGAAAAACCTTAAAAATACCACACTCTGATTGGGAAATGTGCATTAGAATAATGTACAGAAGTCTTCAGCTGGTCTACATGTTTGAATACATGCTGGATCAAACTCTTTTGGGAATGGGAAAAAGAAAACTTGGTTATAATAAAGAGCTTCAAAATCCTGTGAAGTTTCTTCATGCAGTCCACTTCTAGAAACAAGCAAGCAGTATAAAATGTGATGCAAAATAATTTGTGTAGAATTCTCCAGAAATTAGAAAACCTGATGGAAATGTTCTGAGAGTTATAAATATGTTTATCAGTTGCTGGTTGTTGACTCCCATTTATTATTTATTTTTAAAACAATTTAAAAATTTGATATCTATGGGTGTTTTGCCTGCATGTGTGTCTGTCTGTGCACCACATGCATACAGTGCCTGTGGAGGCCAAAAGAAGTCATCGTGTCTCCTGTAACTGGAGTTACAGATGGTTCTCGTGCTACATAGGGCTGCTTAAGCCCTCCTATTATTCTGGGGGTCTGGGACGGAACCTGTGAGGGAGATGCTCAGTATCAGGGACTGCATTGGGGAAGGGACTTCTCAGCAGCCAAGAGGCCATCAAATGTAGTAATATTACTTTTCTAATTTTGTTCTGTTACTTATTTTGATTTCTTTTGAGACAGGGTTTCATTTGACTAGCACATTACATGCATTCACTACTGCACCTATGGCTACTTTTAAATTATGTTGAATTCATGTCTTCTCAATATTTCACTAGGCTTAATGTAGTTTTCAAATAATTGGGTCATTTAACAATGGGTGTTTTATGGGACTGGTGAGATGGGTCAGTGGTTAAGAGCACTAGCTGCTCTTCCAGTATACCTGGTTTCTAGCACTTATTTTGGTTGGCTCACAATTGCCAGATACAGTTCATGAAACACCTTCTAGGGGTTTCTGTGGGCACCTACAAAATACATATGTATAAATAATAAATTTAAAAAAATTGCTTGTTATTTTTATGTGTATGGGTTTCTTGGCTGCATGTGCCTGGTGCCCACAGAGGCCAAAGATGCCTTAGGTGCAGGGGTGTTTTGTAGATGTATCCATTGGGACTGGCTTCTGTAACTCTGCATTTTGATTGGTTGTGATTTTCTCTAATGGTCTCTATCTGTTACAAAGAGACATTTCCTTCCTTGATGAGGGGTGAAATAAGAGTATATTTAAAATATAATTATCGACTGTACTGGCTTTGTTAAAGAAACTCTTGTTTCTGCTACTGTACTCCAGCATAGATAGCCTGCAAACTTCCGCGATTTCTCCTATCCCACTTGCCATCTCATTGTAAAAGCACTGGGAATACAGATGAACAGATTCAACCTACCCCATCAAACATTTTGAGTAGGTTCCAGGGATCTGAACTCAGGCTATCGAGCTTGCATTGCTGTTTTGTGTTGATCAAGTAGTCCTGAGCACGGATGAAATACTCACTGTGACTCCACTGGAGAAAACCAATTTTCCCTCTCCCAGGAGTAACAAAGGCAAATAGCTTCTTGGTTAGGAGTGAGACTTTGTGCCCATTTTTCCTTTTTCATGCTGGGGTTTTGTCTGGCTTAGATCTGCACAAGTCTTTTGCATTCTGTCAAGATACTTTGTGAGTTCATATGTACATCAGCCCTGCACTGTTTGGGAGATGCTGTGTTCTTGGAGTCATCCACCACCTCTGGCTCTTAAAAATCTTGTTGCCTCCTCTTCCAAATAGATCCCTAAGCCTTGAGGGGGGAGGGCTTAATAATGACATCCCATTTAGGGGTGAGTTCTCCAAAGTCTCCAACTCTCTACACATTGTCCAGTTGTGGGTTTCTGAAAAAAAAAAAAAGTACAAAAATCTTGCTTTTATACTTGCTGAGACCAAGAGCATTTGCTGCCTCATGGCACAAATGCAACTCTATCTTACAATGAGATCTTGTTTCCTAATTTAGAAAAGTATTTTAAACAAGCCTCCATATTCTTATTTCAGGACCTTCAGCCGTGAGAAAGATGAATGTGCCTTTCAGGATCCTCTTTCACTAGCCCATCTACTCTAAACTCATCCCCAGAGGACAACCGATCCCTGTTCAACTTCCAGCTTCTCCAGCAGCAGCCAACCCTTTGTTTAACAGCTCCATCCTGGCCTCCTCTCTGCAATCTCTCCTCTTCCTCTTTTTCATCTTCCTCTTCTGGAGCATTCTCCAGTGCTCCCCCTTCCTATGCACAAGCATGTACACACATTCACCCAGGAATTTCATGAACTTTACATGGAACCTGGGGAATAATGAGAAAGTATCTTCTCTCTCAGGAAACACCCTTTCCCTCTGCAGGGTGCCTAATGGGATATACTTATCATCCAAGGGATATACTTCTTTCTCATATCGGACCTATATGAAACACAATCCAAACCAGGATTGTTCAGCTAGAATCTTTCCATCTTTATTGAGGAATTTCAAAGGCCACTGACCCCTGACTCTGTAAACAAGACTGTGTTGCCCAGAGCTTCCTGATCAGAGATTCTTAGTAATTTACATGAGTCTATACAATTGGGGATCAGGGAAAAGCCCTACTGATTCTGAGTCTCTTTTTAAAGGTACAGATACTCTTCAGACCTCCATTTCCATTTGCTAATCTTGTCCCACCTGTTGTTGGGCCAAGACTTCTCCAAGAAGTCTTCAGAACCCTATGGGGGACCATACCCCACCCCCACATTTCCCCAGAGTACTCAAGTAGGAGCAGCAGGAAATATTAGTTAGATGGACAGAGGGGAGATAAACAGATAGAATATACAGGATAGACTCAGGAGGGCTGGGATCCTAATACATCGGCCCCAACTGTTTCTGCCCTGGGGTATTTAAAGGAATGCCAAGGGGTGGAGCAAAAAACACCCCCAGCACAGCCAAGTGCAGACCATCTCTGACACCTGCACTCAGGCCCATGGTCCAATCATCCTCTTTATGCAGACTTCCTGGGTAAAGCCACTAGGAGACCTAGAAATGGGCTTTAACAGAACCCACTCTTTTATTGCCTGTCCGACATTGGGGGACTATGCCATAGGAAGACTGGCAAACAAATTTCATCTGCATACTCATAGAGCTTCAAGAAAGGGACTCAAACGTATTAGTTCTAGCAGATGTTTCACTAGATAAACAAAGCCATTTGCTACAAAAACAGAAAAGGTCTCAGATGTAACCACTGTCATCATAGAATATATTGTTCCTTGTATTGGGCTCCCTGTCTTTACAGTCTGATAAAGACATGGCTTTCATTTATATACCACTCATGGAGGAGGTAAAACTCTTAAAATTAAATATCTCCACATAGCCTGGCATCCTAATCTTCCAGGCAGGTTAAAAGGACTAATAAAACATTTTAGTGCAAATGGAGTCCATAAGAGGACCCAGATCCCCTGGAACAGGAGTTATAGGCAATTATGAGTGACTTGAAATGAGCAACAGGAACTGAACCTAGATTCTCCATAAGAGCAGCAAGTGCTCTAAAATGCTGAGCCATCTCTCTATAGCTCTCTAATTTAACTCCTAAGAGATCTCTCAATAAGCTCACACTGGAGACTTGACAGTCTTGACCCACTCTTCTCCCAACAGCTGTTTAAAATCCCACATTATTCCCAAGTCTACAGTCTACCCCAGACCCTTTGAAGTCTTTTACAGTGTGTCCTTTCTCCAGAAAAACCTCTCTCTAGATCCAGAGACTCATTATTTGTCTTAGTTTGTCATTGCAATACATGATCAAGGCTATCATTGAGTAGCAAGAAAAATACAGCTCCAAGCCTATGGCCACCTTTTGGGGACAACTTTCTCACATAAACAAAAGAAATTAAGTTAAAAGGCCATGTCTTAGTTACTTTTCACTTGCTGTGACATGGCCAAGATAATTTATAAAACAAAGCATTTAATTTGGAGCTCATGGTTCTAACAGGTTAGAGTCCATGACTCTCTGGGCAGGGAGTATGGCAGCAGGCAGGCAGGCAGTGCACTGAGGCAATAGCTGAGAACTTACATCCTAATTCACAAGCAAAGACAGAGAGAGCTAATGAGGATGGCACCAGCTTTTGAAACTTCAAAGCCCACCCCCAGTAGCACATTTTCTCCAACAGGGCCACACCTTCTAATCCTTCCCAAACACCAACTCAGGGCCAAGTATTTAAATATATAAGCCTATGGTGCCATTCTCATTCAAACCACTACAGGCCATTTGAAGCTTTCTGCACTTGAACTTACAGGTTTCCAATTGCTGTCAAATTGCAAGGCCAATTTCTATGGATTCATCTCTTTAGAGTTAAGGCTGTTCTAGTCCCAGAAACATGAATGACCTATTCTTATGAGTCTTCTGGAGACATCCATCATCTCTTTCAGTGAAACAAAGACTGCAAGCTATTCAGCTCCAGATGGTATGGTCTAAGGAATATCAATCATTACCATCAACACCAACACCTTTGTTCTACTACTAAGGACCTCTTGACCTACAAGCAAATCATAGCCTTCAACATCTTAAGATAACCCTTCCTCCAAAATATGGGTCAAGATTCTTATGTCCTATGGTTCTAAAACCCCATGATAAATCCACAATGTCATCCAAGACCCCTTCTCAGCTATGAGGCAATTCTAAAATAAAATGATCCTTTATTCCTTATCAAAAAGTTGACTTTGGTCATCTATTGGGTAAGGGGGAATATAGAGATAAAAAGACAATAAATCAAAGCAAAAATTATCTACTTTAACAATCAGACCCTGACTGTTTGGCACCCAAATTAATGACATGTGATATCTTATACAATTAGAATCCATGGTTTGCTTCAAATGGCTAGTCACAGGAAAAACAAAGTGTTGTAAAATTTATTACTTAAAAGATAATGAGTTGCTTGTTTCTCATCTGTTCAAATATATCCTACAGAAATGTCAAGAGGACCAGTCTCTTGTTCTCTCTTAGAATTTCTCATTGGGTTTCTGTTTCCTCCACAATGTATGTTCTTTAAAATTTTTATTATTTTTAACTATGTGTCACAATACGGGTGTGATCATATGAATATGAATTCCCATAGAAGCCAGAGGTGTCAGATATCTTGAGGATGGAGTTAGCAGGAAGTTGTGAGTCATCTGATATGAATACTAGAAACTAAACTTGGGTCCTCTGCAAGACAGTATGTGCTCTTAACCACTAAGTAATCTCTCCAGCCTTCACAGTATACATTCTTTATTAAAACTTTTATATCAGTTATGGTCTGGTAAATACTTTTACCTTGTGACATGGGCTCAACATTCCCAGCATGACAAGTATT